CATTCTTGTTGTGCATCACGAATGGCATCGCCAAGAGCATCACCGAGATCATCTTCTACCGCTACCTCTTCTTCATCTCCCCATTGTAGTATCATCAAAGGCACCATCTTGAGCAATAATGTCATCAATGTCTAAATCTTCTCCTTCACCTTCTTCCATCATGACCCCGCTTTCTCCATGCTCACTCCAACATATATAGTTTGACATGAAACCTGACTTAAGCAAATGTGAATGAAGACTCATTGAGCTTGAATATTCCTTTAAATTCTTACATAGTGCACATGGACAGCACATGAAACCATCCCGCTTATTTGCCTCGGCCACACCTAAGAAATAGTGCAAGCCCTCAATAAAGTCTTGGGAGCGGCGATCGGCATTGTACATCCAATGGCGTGACATAATCTGTATTACACGACAAATTATGAAAACCTTGAACATAATTAAATATTTTATTACACAACATAGATGACACACACACGGTTGATTAATTAACTAAGCCTGGCTACAACGTAAGCAATCCCAACTATCACTAAACAAACTAAAACTACAATGCACTACAGTAACATAATTATTTCGTGATCATACGCAACTAAAACAGACAAATCATTCTTCTGTTGAATATCAATAAGCTTCTCCTGCTGGCTCACTGCCTCATCAGCAGCAGCCGAATTCTGCACGTATGTAGCATAATCTTCCTCCCAGTACCAACCATCGCATCCATTGCCCTCCCACTGAAATTAAAGCCAAAAAATATTGAGTCAAAAATATTCAAGAAAAGCAGGTCAATTAGCCATAATAATCAAATGTGTAAGAAACTCACATCGCGATCCGAGCACTTGTAGAAAACACAACCCTTGTTGGGTCCCTGTCTCTTGACTCGGTACTCCATCACAATCTTCTGCTTACACTTGCCGCAGATAATGAGAGGGAGTTCTGGCCTCAGTCGTTTCGCAACCGAACGAGAGGCCGAGGATCCGGTACCAGTTGTCATCTACTTTCTATACTTATTTTTGCAAACTACTGTAAATTTCACATTTTCTAAAATAATATATTTAAACAAAACTAAAATTATTTATTTATCTAACTAAACCGCTCGGCAGAGAACATGCTCGCCGAGATGATCACGGTCCGCAAGTTCAACTAGTACGGATTTTCTACAATTTTCTAACTATTTTCTAAGTTTTTCATTTCATGGAAAAATTAATTCTAAGATCACGTAAGCCGCCGGGGACGAGGATGGCGCGTGCTCCAGCGAGGACGAGCGAGGCGTGATTTTGATGAACTAATTTAACTTTTGTTTATCCAAACATATATGCAAATCACCATCGCAAAATCATAATAAAGTCCAACATATAAAGTTACATATGCATCTACATCGCAAAATGAGATAAGCTACTGATAAAACATAAGAGGATTAAGTTTGTTACCTCCAAAATCGAAGAGCAACACCAATGGAGGGGGAGAGAGCAAGAACAACAGCAAGCTGAAGAACAGAGGCAGTGAGTTTGAATGGAATGGCTCGGGCTCGGGAAGAAAGAAATGAGTGTATAGGCCGGCATAATTAGTCCCGGTTAGGTGACCAAACCGGGACTAAAGATTAATATTTATTCCCGGGGTATCACCCAAAGCGGGACTAAAACCTTTAGTCCCGGCTGGTATTACCAACCGGGACTAAAGGTTACCTTTAGTCCCGGTTGGTAATACCAGCCGGGACTAAAGATCCCTGCCACGCGGACGACCGTTGGGCAGGGACCTTTAGTCCCGGTTGGTATTACGAACCGGGACTAAAGGGTCCTTTAGTCCCGGCGGCAAAAAATGCCGAGGCTAAAGCCAAATTGGGACATCGTTCTAAAGTCTGTTCTCTAGTAGTGCTAGGAGGGTTGTTCCTAGTATAAATACCCCCTTGCCTCATAGCAATCTCATACTTTTGATAATCCAAATATAGAACCCCTTTGTTCAGCTGTGTGCTAACAAATATTAAGAGTGATCTCTACCCCTTTGCTCGTGTGATTTCCTTCACGAGATTACAGAAGCTGCGGCTTCATCCGCTTCCAATTGGTGCTCCTACACCCTTCAAGGTACTCCTTGATTGATTGTAGGCTATGTTGGTTGGTTCCTTGAGAGTGTGGTTGGGCGAATCCTCAATTCAGGTTGTTGGTTAAAGACGGTGGATGGCTTCGAGTTTTATTTGTCAGGTTGCACTAGTTATCGTTGCTTGCAGCAAGTTATCTTTGCTTCTTTGAAGCTAGTTATCTAGTCATCCTACGTCGTGAAGATCGGAACCCCATGACGTATCATCAGGTATCAAAGCCTCAGTTGTCACGGTAGGATTCTTTACCCTTAGCCACATATATATTTTTATTTCGTCCTATCCACCAAAAAGACTGAAAAATATATTGCTTTAGCCCTTTGTTTCAATATGTTATTTTAGTGAGTTTTGTTAAGTTTCAGTCCATTAGAGTCTTTGTTTTATATTAGTTGCTGATCATTATCCTTTGTGTTTCCTTGGATCCTCTTTTATATTTATATATGAAAATCCCCACAAAAAGAAATCTATTGACTATATCATCCTTTGCGTGACTTTGATCCTATCAAGTTATAGCTACTGGTTGTGTTTTTGTTTCTATCATAAGTGTGCACGTGTTATATCTGATCCTTGTGTTTAGTTCTATATATAAAAAAAGTGTGTCAAAAAAAAGAAGAAGAAAGAAAAGTGAAAAAATTTGAGAAAAGTTGAGAAAGAAAAGTTGAAAGATCAGTTGGTTTATGTGCACAAGTGCTGAAACTTTTTCACATCAGGTTGTGCAACCAATTTTGCTATTTTTGTTGGTGCAAAATTTTGGTTGGGTCTGATCGTAACATTTGCAGCCCAATCATACTACTTGTTTGCATTAACTCTGAAATTTTTTTGCGCGCGTGTGATCGATTTACATCTCATTCATATCTTTTGGTCAGCACTAGACAAGGAACTTCTAGTTTGGATTGTTATTTAACTTTACATCAAGAAGAATTCAGATTTCATTCCTTGTGCATCACTCCCCACCGAGCTCCACATACAAGCCGTCGTAATCGGTACTCTGGTCTTGTATTCGCCTCGCCATCACTTTCGGTTACCACCACACACTTTGCTTTCATGTACCCCGCCGGAAATTCATAAGAGCTTTGGTTGGTAAGAGAGGCGAGGTTGAGAGAGCTACCAAAATTTTCCATTCCACAAATACCTATTGTTCGTATTTAGCTAACCTTACAGGAAGATGAGTGGAGCTGATATAGAAGATTGTGTTACTATGGCACAATTCAATGAACTAAAGCAAAGCATGGAAGTTAAGCGAGATCACTTGACACAAGATCTTCAAGCATTTATGGCTGAAATCAGAGGATGTCGCCAACCTCATGATGGTGCAGGCAACCATGGTGAAGATGGAGAAGATAGTGATGGAAGAGCTGCTTCTAGAAGAGCAAGAGAACAAGAAAAGAGGAACCGAGGTGCTGCATATGGTAGAGGAAGAGGTCAAGGTCGAAGAAATGATGACAATGATGAATATGAAGATGAGGATGATGATAATCATTCTCAATATTGTTTTGGTCGCTGACATCGTAGAGTAGGCAACAATGAGGAGAGGTTTGGAAAACTAAAGTTTACCATGCCAAAATTTGATGGAGGGTCTCATCCTGAAGCTTATTTCACTTAGGAGTTGAAGGTGGACAAGATCCTTCGCCTACATAATTATGCAGAGGAGAAGAAGTTGGCAATGGCATCTTTGGAGTTTGAAGGATATGCTCTGATATGGTGGGAGCAACTTCTTTGTGATCATAAAGAAGATGGAGAAAATCCTATTGCCACTTGGGAAGAAATGAAGAGAGAAATGAGAACTCGTTTTGTGCCGAAGCACTATCGGCGTGATCTTTTTGATAAATTGCATAATCTGAAGCAAGGAAGTTTTTTTTGTTGAGGAGTATTATAAGGAGATGGAGAAGGCTACAATTAGAGCCAATGTGTATGAAGATGAAGAGCAAACTATTGCACGTTTCATGGCTGGGTTACATCGCAATATCCAGCGCATTGTTGAGTTTCAGCCGTACCATCATCTCATTGATTTGGTACATCAAGCAACCAAAGCTGAACACTAACTGTAGCATGATGCTAAGAGTAGCAAGTCCTTGTCATATGGTGGAAGGACTATGCCAGGAGGAAGCAAGTCAATCTCCAAGTTCACTGCTGCACCCTCAATGGTGAAAAGCTCAAGTGGAGGCCTGCGCTCCAATGTTCAAGGTGTTTTTAGTGGGAAGAATGTTGCTATCCCAAGCATGAGTTCTAAACCAGCAGCATCCACCACTACTTGAATTGGTTCTACATCTAAGAGTAGTGGGATTCAGTGCTTCAAGTGTGGAGGCCATGGGCATGTAAACAAGGAATGTCCAAATAATCGTGTGATCATTGTGAATGACAATGGAGAATATGATTCAGCTAGTGAAGAGGAAGTTGATGAAGAGTATGTTGATGAAGCCCATGAAGATGAGGAACATACTGGATGTGAATTGGAGCACGGTGCTGCTCTTGTGGTGGCACAAATCTTGATTGTTTGAATGAAAGAAGCTGAAATGGGATAGCGACATAATATTTTTCAAACCAGAGCGAAGGTGCAAGATAAAGTAGCGAAGGTGATCATTGATGGCCACAGGTGCCATAATCTTGCACTAGTTATCACTGCTTGCAGCAAGTTATCTTGGCTTCTTTGAAGCTAGTTATCTGGTGATCATCCTACGTCGTGAAGATCGGGACCCCGTGACATATCAAAAAGTAGATCTGGATGTAGGGTTGTTGAGCGAGGAAGAGAGAGCTAGCGCCGGAGCCATGGCGGTGTTGATGTGGGGAGGAGACATAGGCCTCACAGTGCTGGTGTGGAAGAGATGTGGGAGTCATCCGAGTGGCGTGGAAGAGGTGAGGGCGAAGCGGTGTGGAAGAGGCAGGCGAGGCACCGGTGTGGAAGAGGGCCGAGTCATCCGGGCAGCGTGGGCATCGGAGCAGTCTGAACACCGGTGCGGGAAGCGGAGCTGGCGCAGACGGCTCGTGATTCCAAGAGACTAGGGCGGAGCAGGCGCAAGCGTCTACACGTTCGGACGTCCGGGCACACCGCTGACGCATCCTCCTTGTCTGGCGGTCCGCCGAACAGCTCCGCCTGGAACACCGCCGACCGCGCGGCGAGCACGCTCGAGTGCGCGGCAAACGCCTCCCCACCCACCTCGAGCGTCACGTCCGCCCCAACCCCGCTGGCGAGGAGTTCCCCAAGATGCCGGCGCAGGTCCGGCGGCGCCATTACTCCGGACAGTCTGCACGTCCTTCTGACCAGCGTGACATCGCATCTCACGCTGAATCTATTGTCTTTCAGATAGTAGGACTCGAATCTCTTCCTTTTCATGAACTGCGTGTAGCGCATGGATTTCATGGTTGACAAGGCACGTTCAGTTTCTTTCCTTAACGAAGACGGCACTGGCTGCCCGGCCTGGTCAACCAAGCTGTACATGGTTCGGACCATGGCATCATCGAGATCTGTGCCACCGGCGACGGGTGGTTCTTCAAGACAGCGCCAGAAGCGTATCCAATCCTCATGGTCATGGGAGTACGTGATGCGCCAGGAGCACCCTCCGGCGGTGAACTTATTTGACGGGAGGGCCCAACCGGCGGCGTCTAGTTCCTTGTCACCGGAGTAGTCCGCGACCGTGAGCACGTATGAACCAGTCGCCGTCTCGGCCGACAGGGTCGACGAGCTGCCGTAGGTGTCAGCGTCGGCGGTGGACACCGGCCGATGCCAGGAGGTCGACGTTCCGGCGTGCCCGACGGGTTGCCGCTGGCCGGCCATGTGGTATACGCCGAGGGTGTACTGCAGCGATACGAACGGATCACAGTACGAGTCTAGAAAGCCGGAAGGGCAGGCAATTTATGTACATATATGGATTGCACAGAGTCTGCGAGTCGTATTCGTATTCCTCAACCTGATTGGAGTTTGGACATCAAGTAGGATTCCAGTTGTGGTCGTAGTTGAATATAATTGTGTTTTTCTTTTCGGACCTCCTGGCGCCCAGACGTCCGTTCTAGGACGCTAGCACGGCGTGTAAGAAGCAACGGAGCTTTCGCGTAGCCCGCCCCAGTCAATCGCCCACGCAGCCCGCCCACGTTCGTTGCCCCGCCCTGCACGCACACCCTGCTCCGTCCGAGCACCCATCACTCACCGCGCCCTGTGACTTTCCGAACAACATCAAACACTTGCAACATGAAACATTTAAACGCAACATACGTCTGAAATAAATAAAACATCTGATATATACAATTGCAACATATACAACATTCAGATATTTCCTCATATGATCTCGACATATACATATATGCTCACACAATCAACGCTGACTCAGAGTACTGCTTTGGGTAATTGGTTGTTGAGGCTAGCGGAGATGGCTAGCACTTAGGAATAGAAGTAGATTGGAATTGTAACTACTGGTGAGCAAACAATAGGGTCAGTATATATCAGTAGATTGGAGCTGAAACTACTGATGATGAGCAAACAAGAGGATAAGTATAGATTTTAGGGAGAGATCAACTGAGGCGAAATTAAAGATTACGTGGACACTAATGTTTAACATTGGACCGTCGCAATGCACGGCCATATTTACTAGTAAATATAGAAAGGGTAAGTTGTCCCGGCAAAACACGGCCGTGTATGCATGCCAAGAATATGACGAGATGTGTCCTATTCGGCAGAGGAATACGAACACGACCCGCACATCCGTATATAAATAAAAACGCTGCCGGGCCCTCCGTGGCTTTCAATTTGTGCATCGCATGCAGTAGTATATATGTACTGCACCTATAAACGTAAGTGGCCAGGACAACGTCGTACCAAGCTCCAGCCACAATGTCGAGGTCTCGTCGTCGTACCAAGCTCCGCAACGACGACGACGAGGACGGTAGCGCGTCGTCGACCATGCTCACCGAGACAGCGACCGGGTGGCACGTGCTCAAGGTCGAGGGCTACTCCGAAATCAATGGTCTCGGCGTCGCCAGGCGCCTGAAATCATGTCCGTTCGTCGTCGGAGGGCACACCTGGTGCATCGCATACTTCCCCGACGGTCTCACCGAGGACACCGCCGACTGCATCTCTTTCGCCCTACGTCTTGAAGATCGTTGTGCCGGGACCGGGAGAGAGGCCGTCATGGTACGGACTACGTTCAGCCTGCTCGACGTGGCCGGAGGTCCGGTGCCATCTTTCACCGTACCATGTGGTGTATGGACCTTCTCGAGAATAGGCCAGTCATGTTGCCACGCACGGTTCATGGAAAGGAAGGAATTCGAGTCGTCCTACGTCAAAGACGATGAGTTCTGCATAAGGTGCGACGTGACAGTCCTGTCGGCAGGTGCGCGGCCGCCGCCGGACCTGCGCAGGCAACTCGGCGACCTCCTCGCCAGCGGGGACGGGGCGGACGTGACGCTGGAGGTAGGCGGCGAGTCGTTCCGCGCGCACAAGAACGTGCTCGCCGCGCGGTCGCCGGTGTTCAAGGCCGAGTTCTTCGGCGGACAACACAGGGAGAAGGTCGCGGCGAGTGTAAGCATCCATGGCATCGAACCGAGGGTGTTCAGCGCCATGCTCCACTTCATCTACACCGACTCGTTGCCGGACATCGACGACGGCGACAGGACGGCGATGGCTCAGCATCTGCTCGTGGCCGCTGACCGGTACGGCATCGAGAGGCTAAAATCTATCTGCGAGTATGTTCTCTGCAGCTTTGTCCACGCGAGTGCAGTGGTGACTACGCTCGTGCTCGCGGAGCAGCACGGTTGCCATCAGCTCAAGGAGGCGTGCTTCAAGGTCCTCAAGTCCTCGGCCAATTACAAGCAGCTTGTGGTAGGGAAGACTTTCAATATCTGGCAAGCACTTGCCCTCTCTTCTCCAAGAGCTGCGTGGACTTGAAGCAGCATGATTGTTAGGACTTGATGAGTATCTTAGCAACATTGTTTAGAAGCCTAAATATTCAACTCACAAGGATGTATCGTTTTGTTTTTTAAACAATTCCCAACATGCATCTGTTGTTTGGTACTTTAGACAATTTCATTTGGTATAAGATTCCTACATGCATGTATCGTTTGGTTTTTTAAACAATTCTCTGTGTGTCACTCGGTAACTAGCGGTGCCAACCTAGAAGGTAACACCTGCTTAACGGAAGTGGTAACAGGGAAAGAAAAATTCAAAAACTAGTATAGAAGTTGCAATGAACTTTTAGGTAGTACATATGGGTCGATCTTCTTTTTCAGGGCCACACAGGGATTTGTCTCTTTAACCGTCTTCCTCGACGTCGCTGCAGCTTACGGGAGCAATCATGTAGGCTGTTAGCAGCCGATCAAGTGACGATATCAAAATGTAAATCAAAACTGTAGTATCAGGGTTGACTTGTTGTTTAGGCTGCGACTAGAACTGCTCGTAAAATCTCTTTTATTCGTGAACGGAAAAAATTGGGTGCAGTCTGGCTGCACTCGCCCGGGTGTGCAGACCCTGCTTGATCTGGTGAATCGTGACACGTTTGCAAATAATTTGTCTAGTAGTGTGTAATGTAGAGCCTATCGTGTCACTTTCGTAGGAGGCCCGGCCAACTGGGAGATGGCAATTTGGCAACGACATGCAAATTGGAGTATCGGGACCAGTGATAGAAAATATTTGGCATACATAAGCCATGGTAAACATGTCCAAGACCTCATCTCCGGAGGTAAATTGTGTTGTATTTAACCGCCTTTAGTAATAGAGGCTATATTCAGCTGGTAAGACAAGTTATGCCCCCTGGAAGGGTCTCTATATGCAGTTCTTTTTCCGGCGACTAAAAAATGGTGACACATCTGGAAATAATTTGTGTAGTAGCTTGCAGAGCCTATGGTGTCAGTTTCCCACACAGGATCCCCATTGGGTGGTGGCACTTTGGGTAACGACATGCAAATTGGAATATCTGGAGCAGTGATAGAAAATATTAGACACAAGCCATGGTACACAAGTCCTAGACCTCTGTCTATTTTCTTACACGATAAGTAGACGGCTACAGGGTGGTTTCAGTTTCAGCAAGCCAAGAATGTACGTTATTGAATTGAACAGAAGCGCTGCGACAACAACCCTCCTCCTAAGCTGCTCTAGGCTTGCGACAGGTGATGATGGTGAATTTGATGAGCCCCTTCCTGTAGCCTTGGATCAGCAGCAGTATCCCCATCGCCCCTCTGATTGTCTTCCATCCTTCAGACAGAAGCAAAAACGAATGCCAACAAAGTAATTCACATCCCAATACACTCAAGATTTTTGGTGCAGTCCATGTTCAGCAAACAGAGCTATTGAAGATGAGAGGAGTAAGTTGCATATATATACCACATGTTAACGCAGAGGTCAGGCCCTTCCATGACAGTGATAGTTTTATCATAGCGGGCCAAAACGGGGCCACGTTCTCCGACCAGTCAGCTGTCCTGATATCCTGACACAACATGCAACAACAAAAAAGATTTCTTTCTATGAAATCACATCATGCAAAGAAATTTCCAAATTGGCGTGGTTTCCAAACGGGGCCACGTTCCCTACTGTAGGTACATCAAGAATTTGATCTTATTATCTTCAAGATATTGATCGAGACAGATTTGCATGCATCGTAAATATAGCACGGTCTTTCAAATTCATTCAGAATTTTTCAGAACAGAAACAGCTTTTTATTTTAATTATCTCGAGAGACAGTGACTTGGCAATGTTGACATAGTCTGCAGGTGAACACCAATCCGCGAGGCAGTATGCATTGCATATCCTCTTCAGGAGGCTCAGTTCATCCGGTTTCAGGGAGTTTTCAGACGGCTCGAGGTTCCTATGGCAGCATGTCACGATGATTATTGTCCCTCCGGGAGCCGCCACGCGCGCTAGCTCACTAACAAACTAATACACGAGTAAGGTACGAGTTCAAACATTATGCAGTTAACGCACTAACAAAGTAATACATGATCATGGTAAGAGTTCAAACAATATGCTGTTTCGCTGCGATGAGTAAGGAAATTTTGGGCGCATTTTCTGGAATGGTAAGAGTTCAAGGCAAACACATAACTTGTTAAGTCAACGTGTGTGTAGAGAAAAGAATTTAACTATATATGTTGGTGTTGGAAATCATATTTGGTTGTTGTCGCCTTCTGCACTGCCAAAGACATGGGCCGGCCAAATCTTGGCGCCGATTTGGCTGCTCGGGAATTGGCCAGCGCATGGCCGAAAAATGAGCTACGCATGGGCAAGCTGGCGTGCCAAAGCACGCCTCTACTAGGTCTTTAGAATTGATGGCGGAGCAGCGGTTTTCGGCAGGACGACTCGTGCTATTATGAAATTTTACAACACGGACCTCCAAATTTTCTGTTCCAAGCCCACTAGTACAAAATCGTTTTTTGCTGACGCTTGCGACTTTTTCACTTACGGTTTATAATGTATTGGCGCCAACAGAAATAAATTTGTGGGCCCATAGCTATGGACTGAAAGTGTGAATTCATTTTTAGTGGCTGTTTCCTTAGGCCTACCATCTGTACAAATACGATTTCTACTGACGGTAGACATAAGGAAAAAGCCAGTGAAAATATATTTATCATCACAACTTTCTTAACCTAGCGCCACAACAACTAATTTAAAATTGGTTTTCTAAAATTATTGAAATGGTATCGGATGGAAAATGGTCCGTAAGTATTTAAAAAACTTTCTTGTTGACTACTTTTCATTTAAAATCATTTAGGACTTGAAAATTATGTTTTAAGATTAATTATTTTTAAATTTCTGAAATGACCTTGGATGGAAAAATGATCAAAAGCAAAGATGTAGATGTGGACTAGATTTGAAACTTTGTAGTTCAAACTTTTCATTTGAATCTGTTTAGGGTTTCAAATATAATGTCCAATTTAAAATCTGGCGGAGAATACTAAGAGAATATTTCTATTTGGGTAAGAGCATAATGCGTGAGGCATGAGATCGTGAAAATAAAAAATGCAAAGAACCGTGTGTGGCTGGCTAGTGTGTGCCTCTTCAGACATTTTTTTTTTTGCTATTCTTTTAGGCCCGTTTTCCTATTTCTACAAAATCATTTAGACTGGTGGGTTTCTTAAGAAAACCGCTAGTATATCAATTTACAGTAGCAATTTCCTTAAGAAAATCACCAGAATAAATATTTATAGTGGCGGTTCTTTGACGACCAGCATCAGTAAAAATATAAAAAGTTCCGTAGGTAAAGATATTTTGTATACTAATGCCTTCCTTTCTTAAGATATTTTGTATACTAATGCCTTTCTTTCTTATTTTATAAGACGGAGTAAAATAGGTTACCTTCGTTTTGTCCGGCATGTGCTCACCACTCTCCATGGACCATACAAGATCAAACATCCCATCAGGAAACGGTTGGTCTAGAGCATCAGCAACTTGGAGGGAAACCTGCATCAGCATGGTTACTATGAATGGTTGAATAATAACAGTACTTTAATCACGATTAAGGTAGCGGTAGTTTTGGACACCTTGTCTGAGAAGCACTGGGCGGCAGTGAGAGCATTCCCTCTTTCAGCTTGAACACGGCTCAACGTGATGCCCGTACACTGTGCTCCGTATTTTCTCGCCAGGTATCTTGAGCTGCCTCCAATGCCACATCCTACATCAACTATCGTTTTGGGCTTCTTCTCTGGATCATCTGCACGCGAAGATAAACATGATATCCCATCAAAGTTGTGGAACGACGGCATGTAATAGTTTACATTATGTAAAGCAAGCAATCCGTTAAAAAGGGATGAGTGTCCGATAGGTCGTATCCGTCATATTTGGTTTGAGGGACAGGGATGTCCCACGTGGGATATCCCACCATGTAGTGGTGTTTGGTTTAGAGGCAAGCTGGAGACTGGCCCATCCCACTATAAAATATTCCTTCTAGATGTCGTGACTCCCATCCCTTCTTTTTTGGCGGACAGAGTTGTCCCATCTGGGACGAGTCTTCGCAGGTGCACGATAGATGAGAACGACGAGCGGGGCCACTTGCGTGGGCGGGACGGAGAGCGGTGGTGCAGGATGGGACGGGCGGCCATGCATGCGAGCTCCGCCGCCGGCCCTGCCGCGTGTGGCCATGCAAGGGAGAGGAGCACGCGAAGCAGAGGTGAGCTCTGGCAGCGGGCGGGTAGCACAAGTGAGGCGAGCTCTGTCGCCGGGCATGCCACGGGGCGAGTTTCGGTGTGGGGGAGCCGTGGTAAGGACGGGCGGGGGTGGCGAGATTTGGAGGGCGGACATGGGTGGGGGATGTGAGCCCCACCGGGCGGGCGCGGGTAGGGGATACGAGCTCCGGTGAGCGTGGGACGTGACATCTGGCTCATAGGGCGAGCTACGAGGAGCGGTGGGCATGGGGCCATACACTAGGAGCGGAGGGTGGGGCAGTCTGGAGGAAGAAGAAAGCCACGGGAAAGGAATAGATACTGAGAGCTGGGTCCTACGTGTCAGATGCCTCATCCCACTCTTTTATGTCCTTAACCAAACACAAAATGGATCGATCCCGTCGTTTGTCAGCCAAATAGAAAATGGAGCCATTGTGTCCTAGAAATCAGAGACGGGGCCATCCTACTCTAGCTTGAATCCCAACCAAACGCTACCTATGGCTCCAGCCCCACTGAACTCTCAGGCCGCACAGGTGACCGCTAGTATGCAAACCCATACAACCAGTTCCATTTCCGCCCCTACAGGACCATCTTCACAATTTTAAGGGCACTTGGGCCACAAAACAGTAAGAGCTTAGCAATCTAATTTTTAAGGTCTATTTAGCATGACTTCGGCTCTGACTCTGGTAGCAGGTTCTGTGGAAGATTTAGGAGGAGGAGCTATTTTTATGGTCCTATCCCCACCCTAATGGGAATGTAGGGGATCAAAATGGATTGAGTGGGATTAAGTTGCAATGGATTATTTAAATCTCCCTAAATTCTCTTGGATTGGAGATGATATAATCGAAAAGCCATTAATTTTTGGGAGTGTCTCAGGCACAGTCGCCTGACACATTGCATATCCCTCAGGCGACGGCAAGATCCGTTGGATCCTAATCCAACGTTCAGTAATCATCTTCAATATCTCAACCCGCCTAGTCTTCTTCATCCTCGCCGGCGGCCGGAATCTCGTCCTCGTACTCGACCCCGCCGCCGCCCACCACCCTGCCGCAGGCGCTGGGGTTCGCCAGAGCCTGCGGTGTCCGGCTCCTTCCCCTCCCCCTCCAGCCATGGCAAGCTCCGGCAGCGGCAACCTTCCTAGCCAGGCCGCCACACCGCCGCCAGGGGACCCTAAGCCCCCCCCGCCTCCTTACCCACCGCCTGGCCAGCCTGCCTCCCCCCAGCTGGGCCCTTCTATACAAGCCCGAGTTTTGGAAGATGAGAGGGAGAGCTCGCCGAAATCCTAACGAGCAGATCCAGGAGGAGGAGGAGGAGAAAGCCGCCTACCTCACCGGAGCCGCAGCCGGAGCTGAACCTACCGCCGTCGGAGCTGGACCCGCTGGATCCCCAAGCCTGCGCGGATGGGGTCGCGGGGAGGCGGTGGGGCACGGGTGTGGGGAAGAGCTCGCTGGACGCTAGGGAGGATGTTTGCGAGAGAGAGAGAGAGAGAGAGAGAGAGAGAGAGAGAGTGGGGAGATAAGTCGCGGTGTGGGAGGACGAAGGAGCGGGCTGTGCGACGGGCCGTTATCAGTCACCTGATGTGCAGTATTTCTGTTAATGTTTCAGCAGGTTTTCAGTTGGGCAAGAAAACAGCTCATGAATATGTTGGTGGAGCTGTGCCAAACAGGAAAAAAAACAGCTCATGAAACTTTTGGTGAAGCTGTGCCAAACCGAAAAAAAAAACAACTCGTGAAGGTGTCCCAAACATGGATGAAATCTCTCCGAATGGCGCCCACATAGAGGACGCGATGCCGAACGCCGCCGCCGTAAGTTTGAAAAATCCGAGTGAGTTCTCGTCAACTAGCTAAGCACACCATCGCTGAACACCTGCGGCCGCCCAGGTCCCAGGGTGATACAAACAAACAAAGCATGCAAACAACTACAAAGAAAGCAAGGCAACAAAAGCAAATTGAGGCCGCGTACCATCAGTGATTTTTCCTTCTTTTTTATTTCAGAGAGAGAGATAAGAGAAAAGCTAGCTGGGCCGTTTGCTTGGGTTCGCGGTTCGCCCCGGCTCGAAATCAACCAATCGGGTAGAGATAACCGGGTGATCACTGGACAGATCGACAAAAGCTTAATTAATTGCGGATGTGGAGGACGCACCTGGGACGGCGGCGAAGGCGAGCGCCTCGTCGATGGTGCGTATCTGGGCGCGGCGGACGTCGGGCACCGACGCGGCATCGCCCGGTTCGTAGAAGCCGTGGTGCAGGTGGTCGCCGCAGATGCGCTCCCAGACCCCCGACGACTCGTCGTACAGCCCCGCGATGTCCTCCTTCAGGCCGGCTGGGGGCACCGGCACCGGCGCGGAGGCCTCAGCAGCAGTCGAGGAGGCGGCCATCGGTGTGGTCGGGAGCTGCAGGCTGGAGGCCTGGAGGGAAGGGACGACCAGTGGAGCAGCGCCGCGTGAGCCAATTTGCCTCGCTCGAGCGCGAGGCTGCCGTATTTACAGGAGGCGACGGCGAGGGGTGTGCAGTGTGCGCCTTGCACGTGCGCGGGTGCGGTGTGTGTACTGGACCGATGAACACGCGGCAGGGACACGACACGACACGATTTCCCTCTTCCACGTAGGGTGTGTATTACAATAACGGTTTTTACACGGTCGCTTTTCATTTAACGTTTAGGCTATTTACACGGTGTTTAAACGAAGTTAAACGGTCTGAACGGTTATATATATTTTTTTTAAAAAAATACATATAATTATAGATGTGCATGTAAAAAATCAAGTATTCTATCATTTATACATATTTATCCGAGTAAAAATCAATTATTTTGGTATGTATATATATTTATGCATGTGAAAAAAACCAAATATAGATATTTATTCATGTAACATATCAAGTGTACACATTTATAAATATAATAAACTTAAGTATACAAATTTATACATATAAAACTAAACTAGATTTACCTCGTATTCGCCTAAACGGCCGTTTAAATAACTGTTTACCCTGTTTAATGTTGTTTATCTCCGTTCCGTTTAGGCCGTTTTTTTTCGTTTTTTGACCGTTTAAACGTTCAACCGTTTAATTTCTGTTTACCCCCTAAATAAAATAGTTTACCACCGTTTACCGTTTACTGGCCGTTTAATCCGTTTAGACGAACACTGGGTGTGTATATATACTCTACTCCCACTAAAAAAATGAAGTTGTTTTAAAGGCTTGAGCAAACATCAGGAATATAAATCATGAATAACTTTTAAGTTATTAATTTTGTAGATGTGAAAACCATATAAATAGATTAATCTTAAAAAAATACTTTCATAAATATATATATATATATATCATTTTTTTATAAATATTTTTATAAATATAAGAAGTCAAAGTTATACTTTACAGACCGTGTCGTTGTTTGAGACTACTTTATTTTCGAGTACGGAAGCTGTATTCATTTTAGGGTTTAGGGTATACATTATGAACACTTACCTGAAGTTGTAGGGGAAGAGTATACATTTCTTGTCACGTTGCTTCTTTAAGAACATCTTAATATTGGCCTCCGTTTCTGCTTTCCATGTTGGATGGGGTTTAGGGTTTTTTAATACGATATGTGGATCAATGAAACCAATATTAGTACACCATCTCTTTTTGCACTCTCCCATCTCAAACCTGCATCATATATATAGAGTGAGGATAATAAACACAAACATGTACGTATGTAGCGGCTTATTATTAATTAGTAGAAAGAATCACTTACAGACAATAGCAACTGATGAGAGTCTTGTCGAGAGAGTTTCGGTGGACTAGTTGGTGTAATTCAGCAAACTCAATGTACATAACATCATCGCCACGGAACCAATGGTCGTCTTTGATTCTGACAGAAATATAGAACTCTTTCCAGTGACACACGTCGAGGTACAAGGTGTTTAGCTTGAACAATTGTGTACCCAGTTCATTGATGGTCTTAGGATTCCATAGACTCCTGCCATACTCATATTTCTGCCATTCATCCGCTACCGGCGCACTTTCGAAGAGGAAATCGCCAAGGTCGATACCTCTCATAGCATAAAAGTTAGTAAGTTCCGTCATATCCACTTCTTTATCAGCAGGTATTTCCATCATATCTAGCATATCTATGTTTGAACCATATTTATTAGCAATAACTAGAGGAGGGACTGATTGCAATTCTTGTTCTCCGAGTTGTGCAACAGTTTTCCCTGCTTTAGCAGCTTTCTTGATTATCTTGCTAAGAGTGCGGTCAAAGTCTGATGGTGGCGAGGGCTTACGAGCTTGCCGCCTCTATTTCTGCTCAGCTTCCACCATCCGCCTTAGTTTAGCTAGAGGTAGGTGGAAGTGCTTCTGCTCCTGCTGCTTCCTCTTCCCTGTGCCTGAGAAGAATACTTCGATGGTTTTTTAACCGCATCATCTAACTCCTCTTTACTCATTTCATCAGGCAATTTCTATGGAATTGGCCTTGGTTTCACGGGGGCCTTCTTGGTCGTCTTTGCCGGCGGGGCAGATGGCTTATTTGTTTGCAACCGTCTTCCCTGGTTCATGGGAGGAGGTGGGGGAACAGGTGTTGGAGACCTTCGAGGCGGTGTTGGGGAACGCCTTGGAGGTGGTGGAATAGGCGTTGGAGACCTTCGAGGCGGCGTTGGGGAACGCCTTGGAGGTGGTGGCGGCGGCGGTGGAGACCGTCTTGGAGATGGTGGGGATACAGCCATGTCTTCTACCCCATCGTAACCGCCGCCCAGAGCACTATGCTTGTCTGGTGATTGTACTATTGTACTTAGGTTGGGGGAGGCCCTGCTGTGTGCGTACAGAAGACAATGAGTCAATTGTTATTTAAGAGGCAATATAAAATTAATAAAAAAATTGTTTCGTTCACTTTCATCCGTACCTATTGTGCGGCAACGGCTTCCCGGGAATATTGATGTAGCGCTTGCGCCATGCAATGAATGACTTCTCTACTTCTCCCACGGTCTTCTCCCCATCACCTCCATGAATGTCAAGAGGCACATCGCTAAAACCTTCAATAGCTTTATCCACCGAGACGGTAGCATATCCAGCTGGTACTACTGCCCCATAGATTCTTGGTGTCTTGGTACGGTCGATAGGGTTTACAACACCAATAGCCACCTTCACTGTGCCATTATCTTTTGGAATGTGCAGCTCACATGATGTAAAAGGTTCAGTGACGTCATCCACGGGGAAGCGCAGCTCTGCATCTTTTATGGCATTAGGCAGCTCCATAGAAGCACAACTGCTTCTCAACTGATCGGGGGGGCTAATGTTGATTTCCAGAGCTGTTGTAATCCCGTGGGCACTCAATTGTATTTGCACTTGCCTTGCGACTTCCTCTTGCATTTTCGCTTGCATTTCTTTTTCTCGCCTTTGTGATTCAAGCACCGCTTCCCGTGACTCAATAACATATTGCTGCAAGATGCGGATCCTCTCTGCCTCCTCATCCTTCCATCTCTGGCGGCTTCTGTACGAATCGATCCATTTAGGGAAACCTTGCACCCACGGAACGGCCCCTTTGCCTCTAGTTCGTCCACAATGCTCAGCGGTCTTGATGGAATATGTCAGTTCATCTTTCTCTCTATTGGGCCAGAATAGTCCACTATCTCTAGCTTTTAGAATTTGAATCAACATTTCTGTTGCTCTTTCGAGTTTTGTGCCATGGACGAGCTTCCCGGTGACTGGGTCCAATCCTCCCCCATGACCTAAAAACCAACGCTTTGTGCGTTCAGGCCATGGTGCTGATTCAGGTACGACCCCCTTGGCATTAAGGTTTGCTTCTATTTTTTGCCACTTGGGAACGGAAGTCGCGTAGCCACCTGATCCCATGTTATGGTGGTATTGCTTTTGTTTGGAATTCTCTTGGTTCCTTCTCGCCCGTTCCACACTCTCTTTTGATGTCTTGTACTGTACAAATTCCTCCCAGTAGGGCCTTGCCTTCGCGATTGGGCCCTTATCGTTCTAATTTGGAGTCTTGTTCTTCTTGACATATGATTTGTATAGCTGCTTCTTCCAAGATTGGAATTGGGTGGCCATCTTCTTCATTGTCCAGTGCCTAACTCGCTCCGTCAACCTTTCGTGGGTGATGTCTTCATGATAATCATCTGTTTAGAGCGTGAAATGTGCAAGAACATCTTGCCAAATCAGCTCCTTGTCCTTATCAGAGACATAACTAATATGAGGAGCATTGTTATTTTTTTTCCATTCACGGGCATTGATCGGGAGCTTGTCCCTTACAAGGTACCCACAGTGGTACACGAATTTCCATGCATCGAATATGTGTTGGCGACGGGCGGTGGTGGACAGTGGCGCTAGATCGAGGCACGGGGGCTCCTCGCCGGGCGCGGCGTCGTCGGGGCTACTCCGGTGAGGTGTGGGTGGGCATCGGGACGATGCCCTCCGGTGAGGAAGAAGGCGCGGCGTCGGGGGCAGCGTGGCGCACGCGCGGCGTCAGGGGCGGCCGGGGGTTCCTCGGTGAGGGGCGCGGCGTCGGGGCTACTCCGACGAGGTGGGCGAGCCTCGGGGTGCCCTCCGGTGAGGAAGGCGGCGTCGGGGGTGGCCGGGGAGGCGAATCGGCGGCGGCGGAGCTCTCGGGACGCGCTGAAGACGAAGACGATCGATGAGGAGGAAGAGAGAAGGGAGGCGGCAGTATATAGGAGAGGGACCTTTAGTCCTAGCTCCATCCACCGCCCGGGACTAAAGCACCTTTAGTCTCGGCTCCTGCCACCAGCCGGGACTAAAGGGGGACCTTTAGTCCCGGCTGTTGGAAGGAGCCAAGACTAAAGGATTTTTTGGCGGACCGCCAAATGCAGCCCACCTTTAGTCCCAGCTGGTTGCAGGAGCCGGGACTAAAGGTGGGCTACATTTTCATTTCCCGACAACTTTTAAGCAGATCAGTTTATTTTATATATGTTTTGTATTTAAATGTTTAAGTCTTATTATTTGCGCAGTAAATTCAATACTAGGCATAATTTTTTTTAGAAAAAGTAATAAACTTTATTTTCATTTACTGCACAAAAAAATATGTGACCTAAACTATTGTGTTTTTATTATAAATGTTGAACATAATGCACCTAATACTCACTATTTTCGTTAATGCAAAAATATAAACTTTAATTGAAATTATTAAATTTATTGGTTTTCGATAGGAAATTAATTTTCACGTAATTGTAACATAAATCTTTAGGTTCTTCATTAATCATTGTATAATTAATCGGTGAGTTCGGACGGAAATTCAATTAAAGTAAAAAAAAGTACCAAACCACCTCAGAAAAATCTCAAACTTGTGGTGGCTACACACAGGGCATTTGTAGTCTTGAGAAAAAGTTTGAGACCAATCCGGCACTGGAAAGCAAATGGACTTCAGAGTCCCAGAGAACCTAGG